AACAGAAAGAGGTCTCGAAGTAACAGCCATTCAGATCATATCAGACGAGGAAGAGGAAGACCTAAAAGTGCATCTGCCAAAAAACATGAGGAAGAAAGAGGTATGAATAAATTCAAGCAGCTTTTTTTCCCCCCAGTATTAAAATTGGTCAGAGATCTTAATTAGATAGTAGTGAAGAAAGTGGAGTCCGGCATGAGCTTCTGGACTTAAAATCACATCTATATTTTAGTTTGAAATATTTCCTCTATGGTAGATGCTTAGTTAAAAAACTCACACAAATTCTTATTGGAAAGATTTAGATTAGGTAAAATCCACTTTGCTATAAACTGGTATTAGTAAAATACACAGATAAGTTTTTTGTTTTTGTTTCATGGTACTGGGGATTGAACCCAGGAACTCTCTACCACTGAGCTACATATATGTCCAGCCCTTTTTAAAATTTTTATTTTGAGAAAGAGTCTAAGTAGCCCATGCTGGCCTCTAACTTGTGATCCTCCTGCCTCAGCCTTCCCAAGTTGCTGGAAATACAGACATTCCACTGTGCTCAGCCAGAGATAATAATTTGTATATAACATCCTTGAGAAGCATATTAAAATCATTGTACTTTTTTTTTTAAAAAAAAACTCAAGTCAAAGTTCTTTTAAGACTTATTTTAAACTATTATGCCATGAGTTTTAAACATTTAATGTTTGAAGTGTTTTTGGTATGAATTTTTAAAATGTTTATTGGGAGATTTATGTGCTCCCTGCATTGAGGCAGGTTTTGTTAAAATTAGGTGAATTCTTCTTGATCCAAAATGTATTTCTGTTTCTCCTTATAGGTCTTCTCCTTTTTCCTTATAAGTAGTCTACAAATAACTTGAACTAAAACTTCAACTTTTTTTTCTTTTATATATATGTCATTTAAAAAACTTTTTATCATGGAAAATTTCAACATATTCAACAATAGGGAAACTAGTAAAATGAATACCTATATGCCCATGAATATCTTTTTTAAATTGAGATTTTCAAAGCCAATAATTAATGAAAAAGGGATACTCTTTATAATTCTTTAAAAACCTCTGTCAAAATGATTTCATCTGTAGTGAAATGTATTTATAGTTTCTTAATATTATTTGTGAATTATGCTTTGCTTTTTTTAGTTGTTCTATGTTAGATACTCAAGTGCTTCCTGCATAAATATATACTGTTGTTATTTGAAACACTGAGGATATTCTGTTTACCATTTCTCTAGGTTTTGTATGTTTTTATTTGAATGAAGTTAGTACTGTTGGAGAAAATAACTTCATTAGTATAGCTGTCCTAATTTTTATCAAAGGTGTCTTAAGATGGTGTGACTAAAGGAATGATGTTTATATCATAAATTGACTATCCATGAGACTGTACTTGGGATCTTTAATTCCTTGGATAATTTTACTGTTTTTTTTTTCTCTTTCCTTTTTCAATGATGTTCTTCTAGAGCGTTTTGAGTTATTTGCTTAATTTGAATGTGCTTATTTAACAGATCATCAGAATATTTATGTCAAAGGTTATTTTAGAAAGGAAACTGGGTAAAGAAAAGTCAACAGAGAAGAAAAAAGGGAAATATTGCTTGGTCCAGAGAACAACATATTTTTTTCAGTTGATGTAAAGGGAATGTAAATGAAAGAATAGAGAAGGAAATTCTTCTGATGGTAAGAAGAGATAAGAAAACATAATGACAGTCTTTTAGTTGAGGAAATAAAGCCTGAATAGTTTTGCTAAGACTTTACATATATAGGCTTGAATATTTATTTCATGATAACTTGAAAAAAGAAGCATTTATTTGGCTGTAAAATTTCTCAGGTGGTATTTTAGTGTATTATAGAAAACTTTTAAGGAAGCTATTTCAAGAGTAATATATGCTTTTAAAATTTATTTACTTTTAATACACATTGTAGAAAATGTTCAAAGCAATTTCTAGAGCATAATCTGGAATCTTTTACTTTTAGACTGGAATTCAGCAAACTTTTTCTGTAAAGAGGCAGATAGTAAATATTTTAGAGTTTGTGTACCATGCAATCTCTGTCACAACTACTTTACTTTGTCATTATAGCTGGAAATTAGCTACAAAAACAGGAGATGGGTGAGATTTGGCACCCAGATTGTAGTTTTCCAGTTGTTAATGTAGACCATTATTCTCTAAATATATGGATAGAAATTACAAACTATTGAAATGTCTGAATATTTTGGAATAGATTCTTTGGTAATGCTTCTTGTGACTGAGTAGCTATTTAGTTTAATTCTGTTTTTGTTGAGTCACTACTCTTAAAGGACACTTAAAATTTTTGAAGCAAGTTTTAACTTTCATTTTAAACATATGATTTAAGGAAAAAATCTTACAATGTGTCTAAAAAAACAAAACTTTAAAAATTATCCTTTTTGATTTTGAAAAAGGATAGGAAGAAGGAAAAATGGAAAAGGAAAGTATCCTTATTCCCTCCGCCTCCTACAAGTTTATCTTTGAAAAGTATAAGTTAAAACAAAGTCTCTAGTCTAGGGAACACCAGACATAGTTGAGGGAGGGCTACTATATTTATCTTAGGAACATTAGGTGAAAATTTGACTTGGTAAATATTGAGTTCTTGGTAGATACTGAGTTCTTGGTAAATGTTGAGTTGTGTTCCAAATAAGAGATCAGAAATAATCTTCTCTAGGGAATCTCAAGAGCCCAGGAGAAAAAGCCTAAAATAAAAATACTGTCATTCATTCTTTCACAGTCAAGTTCCACATATGTGTACATGCTTCTAATCACCTTTTTTGCTAATACTTCTAAATGTGAACACTTTACCAGGAATAGCCCAGATACCTGGAAGAAAGTATATAATATGTGAAAGGCTGAGACTAAATCAAAAGGTATGAAGAAATAACTTAGAGAAAACAAGTCTTTGCTTGGAGAAGAAAAAAATCAAAACTATCATTAATAATCTTTAGCAAAAGAAGATATAATCATGAAACTAGACCAAATAATATTTGAAAAGCAATTACAGAGGTCAAAAAGGTACCTGAGGAACTTCAAAATATAAACTTGAAAATATTCAGAAGCACCCAAAGCATATATGATTCTCAGAAATGAAAAACCTTAATAGAAAATTTAAAGATAAAATTGAAGAAAAGTTCCAGAAAGGATAGTAATAGGAAAAGAGGTTAAAAAAATAAGATGGAAAAGATAATAAATTCTCAGGTCTAACATCTATAAATAATCAGTTTCAGAAAGGAAAAAAAACCCTAAAAAACACAGAAGATGGAGGAGAAGGAAGTCTTCAATGAAACAATTCAAGAAATGTTCCCAAACCTGAAGGAGCTTTAGTTTTTATATTAAGAGAACCTGTGAAATTCCCAATCTAAAGGATGGTTAAAAATAGAAATGATACCTCAGTGTTTCTTCATATTATGTATCTCTAGAAAGAGAAAAATCATTTAGGTTTTCAGAAAAAGAGGAAAGAATCAAAATGATATTGGAATACAGTGAAATATTGCCTAGCAAGGAACAAATTATTATTATATTAATACCATTGATGAATTTTTAAAACATTGAAAGAAGCTAGACACAAGAGAACATATTATATGATGCCATTTATATAAAGTTTAGTAAGAGAATCTTATGGAAATGGAAATCAGTACAGTGGTTACTGGTGGGCGTAGGAAGGGACTAACTAAAAGCATGAGGGATTTTCTGGAATAAAAGAAATTTTGTATATCATCATTTTGTGGGTTATATGAGTATATGCATTTATCAGAACTCATCAGTTGTCTTCTTAATGTATTTTTGTATTTCACTGTTATGTAACTTTAGTGATAATTTTAAAAAATAACTATAAAAAAGTTTTGAAAAAAGATTCAATTCAGGGAAAACAATGTGCAAGAAGAGTGAAATCATTCACATAGTCATTGAAAAATGGGTGTTACTGAAATTGCAATTCATAATGAGAAGGTGAGGGCACAAAACCAGAGCGTTTGTGGTGGGAACAGGAGATGCAAAACAAAAAAAAATCCTAATTTTTCATGGTGGGAACTGAATATGTAATGTCTAAACCAATAATTGAATTAGCATCTTCTAAAAAAGTTACTTAGAGATAGATTTGTTTTTGTAAAAACAAAGAGAAGTAACTGAAAAAAAATCAATAGTTGCATCTGGAAAGTGGGAAATTTGCATGGAGGGATGGATGGACTTCTTTTTTTTGTAACAAGTTTTGTAAAATAATTTGACTAAATTATTTGCATGTTTAATTTTGATTGAAATGTCAAAATAACAAAATCATAGTACAAGCTGAAAAGGGCACTTGGAAAAAACATCCACCAAGATGTTTTTTGTGGTTTTGGCTGGCTCATAATTTAATAGGGGGTTTTATCTTTATTTTTTTATCTTTATTTTTCAAATTCTCAATTTTATTTTTTGTGGTATTACGGATTGAACCTAGGAATGTTCTGCTTTTGAGCTACATTTTTATTTTGTATTGAGATAGTTCTCATTAGGTGAAGCTGGCCTTGAATTTGGCAATCTTCCTGTCTCAGCATCCTGAGTCACTAGGTTTACAAGCATGATCCACCATGCCCACCTTGTTTTTCAGATTTTCTTACTGTGAACTTGGATTTCATCTGTAATGAGGAGGGGAAGGGTGGAAATAAATGTTGTTCTTATTTTCTATAGCAGGGCTATAAGATAACAATATTAATATATTATCATTGATGTTCAGAAATAAACATCTAGGGTTAGAAATTTTGACTGAACTCATGGGAGTGAGGAAAAAGAAATAGATGAGATTCTTATAGAAATGATGTAGCTATTGGACTGTGTATGTATAGAAATAGAGTCTCCATTTCAATACCTTTGTATAATTTAAAATAATTAGTAGCATAACATTAAACATATTGTATAATTATGTATAATATTTATTGTCATTAAAAGAAATACTTGAAAGCTTTATAATTTTTTTTAAAGTTGCTGCATTTATATTAAGCTTTCCCTTTTTCTTTTAACAGAGAAACAGGAAAAGGAAATTGACATCTATGCTAACCTCTCTGATGAAAAGGCTTTCGTGTTTTCAGTCGCCTTGGCAGAAATAAATAGAAAGATTATCAATCAAAGACTTATTCTCTGATACTTGTCTGCACAATCTGTTGAAACTTTCTTCAGGATTACATCAGCAAATTGTCAAACAGTTGTGGACTCTCAGGAGCATTCTGACTGCATCAATAAGGGCCATTGATTTTTTTTCTTTTTTTTTTTTTTTTTCCCTTTCTGTCATTTAGCCTGTGCCACACTTTGGAAACAAAGCTGTAGGCTTGGACTGTTTTGGTATTTCCTTGTTTACCAAGGAGAATTGTCAGTGTTTTGTGTTGGCATATAAGTAAGTGTATTTACAAAACAAAGTGCTGGATGGGTATTAAGAGGATAAAAAGGGGTAGGACTAACTGCTGAAGTATGAAAACTAGGGAAATAAAATGTTTGATAGTTTTCAGGTTTGCCACCAGAGATGCAATATTTTAAATACTGTCAGAAAGATTGACTTTTAAATATATATATTTCAGATTTTCAGCTCTAACGGACTGCATATATACAGTTCATTTACTTTTAATAAATTGGCAATTGATATTTTATTGAATGGGGAATTAAGAATATAAACTGTAAATTTTGTCTTACATTGATTTTTTTTTCTTGGCCATTATTTTTATGACTTAAGGTATGAGTTATATTTTAGGAGATACTTTCCAGACAGTTTGGAAGTTTGGGTGCTATATGAAGAAAAACATTTAAGGATATATCATACTTCAGATATTAACACCTCTTTTTCTTGAATGTAATTTATTTATTGGTTAAAAAAAAACAAACTTTTGTGCTCTCAAGATGGTGCCTGTTAACCTAAACATAAAATATATTTATTATTATTACATGCAAAATATTTCTTAGCCACTTTTAAGCAGTAATATTTTATCTGAGTGGATGTTCATTCATACATCCTGATGATTATTTAAATTGTTACTTAATCTCCTGGAAGAAAAAATAAATCTTAATATTGAAACTAAGTAGATTAAATAGTGTGGTATAAGCTTTTTGTCCTAGTGAAGTTTGTGAAATTTATTTCAATTCTTAATTTTTCTAGTGTCAAATCTTAAGTTTTTATAATTGACTTATTTTATACTAAATGTTTTCTATTTGGCAATTTAATGACTAATGTATTCAAAGTTGGCAGTAACTCCCCTTCTTTTCAATTCCTCCTCACCCAATCTGTTTGGAAGTCCCAAGCTAACTAGGGAAGTTAGTTACCAATTAGACCTGGTCCCTATTAAAGAGAACTCCCCCTTTTGGGTATATATGTGTATATACATCCCCCCCCACACATACATGCATGTGAATACTCACACATACATACATATTTTTTAATTAACACAGTTACATATTTATGAGGCACAGGGTTATTGGCATATTCATCATCTCAAACCTATCATTTCTTTGTGCTGTGAACATTCAAAATCCTCTCTTCTATACATTTTGAAATATATAATTATTGTCAATCATAGTTCCCTTTCCCTTTAAACAACAGCATTGTCAATTTTATTCTTCATCTTGTATCTCCTGTCACCCTCAAAGGTTCCTTTCCTTAAAGGAAAAAGGTCTACATTTTTTTTCTCTATTTAAATTGGTAGCCAGCAGAGGGAGCTTATGAGGTACTCAAGATGAACTGTAGAATTTTCCTAAGAATTCTTTTTCTTTTAATACATATATATACCTGCAGGTACTACTGCACTTATCTTGTATGCATTTTAAATAAAGTTTTCCCAAGAATGTAATGTGATTTTTATCTTTGAAACATACTATATGAAAGCTATTTTTATTTTGAGCAAGAAAATGTAAAACTGATTAACATGAGATTCCTTATGAACATAAATATGTCCTCAGAAAAACAAGAACAACTTATGGAGAGTTATCTCTTTAAAGAATTATCATGTCAGAGTCTATCCATTTAAAACTGAACACTATTAGAGAAAAGTTGTGTTAAAATACTCATTGAAAGGAAAAGGGAAGATACTGACCTGAGCTTGCTGTATAGCAAATTATTTTACTTTAGATGCTCATGAGGTTATTTAAAAATAATGCTTATTTAAATATTTCTTTGGCAAAGATATAAACTAGGTTTTAGTTAGTGACAAAAGTCATTCTACCATTTTGTCTGAAAATTGTGTTTTCTGGTAGATGTATTTATAAATTTTGGTAGAAAGCTAAAAAATTTAATTTGTCTAGATTTTTTTTAAAGAAAATCCTTTTTTTTTAAAGAGAGAGAAGGAGGAGAGAAAGAATTTTAATATTTATTTTTTAGTTTTCGGCGGACACAACATCTTTGTATGTGGTGCTGAGGATCGAACCCGTGCCGCATGCATGCCAGGCGAGCCTTGAGCCACATCCCCAGCCCCTGTCTAGATGTTTTGTAATAGCCCCAGAAAATATTACTTTGCCCCTGGTGTTGGAAAAAACCTCTTGTGAAAGCAGATATCCTTAGAGCAAAATTATAGTCCTTTAATTACTCGATATAAAATTTGTTCTTCTGTAATATCTGTATGATTACATTCAGAATGTCCTGATGGTTCCATGATTAGATAAAGTCTGTTGAAAATGTTTATTTTTAAATGTAAGCAAGAATAAAAATAATATGGGAGAATTGGAGGGTAGGTTAAACCAAAAAATTTGTATGTTACCCCCCCCCAAGTTCCTAACTCCATAGTATTCTAAAATGTTTAGGGGAGCAGTTTAGCAACTTCAGTCTTGCAAATTATTTCTAAAGTAGTAATCATTGGAAGTGACCAAGCAGCTTGAGGCAATTTATGTTCTAATGAGATAAAAATTGCAACTGTGGGGCCGGGATGTACCTTTTTAAGAGGTCTTGCTTAGCATATGTGAAGTCCTGGGTTTTCAGATCCTCAGCACCAAAAATAACAATAAAAAAATTTACAATTACAAATGACTTAAAAAATTAATTCAAGTAAATTCTTAGTTCTTTAAATTTCAGAAATATTTAAGAAAAAGTCAACAACATCTGTGTTGCTTCCTGAAGGTAATTATTTCAGTGCTTTTTCCTAAGAATTTACATTACAAAATACTTGATTTCCTAAATTCTAGTAATTGTACTTGATTATCCAAATCTGATTATAAAAATGACTTTTATAATATATTTTATTTGTGACTTGTCTCAACCTGTGTGTTCATCTTAAATTTGAAGAACTTAAGCTCTTTGTATATTTATTATAAAAATATTAATAAAATTGATTCCTCTTTCAAAGAGCATTCTAGATGCAAGAAATCATACTGCTAGTCCCTGCTCCCTCACCCCGTGGAAACCAGGACTGCAAAACATGAACTTTACCACTGACCTACTCAGCCTTTTGCCATGTTTTAATGGATTGTTTTTTGTTGTCGAGTTGTAGGAGTTCTCTTGGTCCTTACCAAATACATGATTTGCAGTATGCTCTCCCATTCTGTGAGTGACCTTTTCACTTTGTTGAGTCTTCTGATGCAGAGAAATTTAAAATTTTGGTTTATTCTATTCTAATTTATTTATTTTGTTGTTTGTGCTTTTGTTGTCATATACAAGACATAATTGTGAAATCCAGTGATATGAAGCTTTTTCCCATGTTGTCAAATTTAATGTATTCTTCCCTAAACTATTTAAACTCGTGATTTTGGTTTGGTGCCTTATATTCTTTCTAATTTAAAAAATTTTTAGTGTTTTCTGTCTTTTTAGATTTTAAAACTTACATTTTTCTAAACAATTTTTTTTTCTTCTTTATAGTCATTTTTTGTTTTGGTACACCAGGATTGAGCCCAGGGCACTTAACCACTGAGCCACATTCCAGCATTTTTGTTGTTGTTTAAATTTTTTTATTTTGACAGAATCTTATTAAGTTGTTTAGAGCCTTGATAAGTTGCCGAGGCTGGACTTAGCAAGGCTCTAAACAACTTAATATTATTTTACAAGCTCTATTTTTACATTTGGAGGCGTGTATGTATTTACAAATTTAATTACTATTTTTTTCTGATTTTGTGCTGTTTTAACTCAGTTTAAAAAATATTTATTTATTCATTGTAAAACTGAGGATTGAACCAAGGGTCCTGGGCATTCTGGTCAAGCGCACTGCTACTGAGCTACATCTCCAGCCTTTAACTCAGTTCTTACAGTCTGAACATTAGTGTTTATTTTTAAAGAATTCAGTTGTAGTAATGAATATCTAACATATAAAGCAAACTTTCTATAATTAAAAGGCTTTAGGATGGACTGAATAATTCTTTTCATCATAATCAAAATTGCCTTTTGTATTGTTAAAAAATCTTAAGTATCTTATCCTCTGATTGAGCAGTTTGTTGTGGTTTGCTGGTTTTTGTTATTTTGACATTTTGTCTACAATCTGTGTGCCTTTTCTTTTGCTTGCGTTAATGCACTGGCTAGAACTTCCAGTAGTATCAAAAAAGATTGGTGAGAGAGGAGATTATTTGCCTTGATTCCAATTGTAGAGGGTAAAACATTCAGTCTTATACCACTAAATATACTGCTAAGTATCATTATTTTGTTTGTTTTTGAAAAAAACTCTTTACTAGATTGAGAAAAATTCTCTTCTGTGTCCTCTTATTGTAAGTTCTTATGATGAACATATGCTGAATTTATCTTTATTTTTATTTATTTATTTTTATGTGGTGCTAAGGATCCAACCCAAGGCCTCACGTGTGCAAGGCAAGCTCTCTACCACTGAGCTACAACCCCAGAACCCTTTAACATGTTAATATGGAAGTTCCCATTGATTTTTGGTTATTGAAGCCAGCCTTACATTTCCCAAGAAAAACTTCACTTAGTTGTGTTACATTAGAATTTTTATTTAATAAATTCAACTTGGTTAATATTTTCTTGAGAACTTTAATAATTTTTGTTTGTGATACTAATTTCATATACTCAGTTGGGGAGTATTTTTTCCACTTTATTTTATGGAAAAGACTGTAGAATTGAATTATTATTTAAATATTTGATAGAATTCACCAGTGAAACCATCAGGGCATAGAGATTTCTGTTTGAAAAGGATTTTACTGTGGATTAATTATTATTATTTTGGAACTGGGCAGCCCTTTTTATTTTTTCTTTTGAGACAGTGTCTCCCTGAGTTGCTTAGGGCCTTCCTCAGTTGCTGAGGCTGACTTGTGTCCTCCTGCGTCAACTCTTTGAGTCAATGGGATTACAGGCATCTGTGCTACTGTGCCTGGCTCCTGAATTAAATTTATTTTTAATGGTCATGAATAATTTTAGTGATGTATTTCTATTTGGTTGAGTTCTGTGATTATCAAGGAATTGGCCTATTTCATCATGTCTTCTCTTTTTGACAGTTTACTATAGTTTTATTAATTGTATGGCTCTTTCCTAAGAACTAGCCTGTAGTTTATTGATATGCTCTGTTGTTTTTCTGTTTTAAGTTTCATAGATTTCTTATCTTTATTGTTTCTTCCATTCTACTTGCCTTGGTTTTATATGTTCCTCTTTTTCTAGTTCCTTACAGAAGAAGTTTAGATTGTTGATTTCATGCTTTTCTAACAAAAACATTTAATGGTATAAAATTGCCTTTAGGCACTTTTGTTATTTCCCAAATCTTGTTGTGTTACAATTTCATTTTTGTTAAATTCCAAATATTTTCTGATTTTCATTGATAACTGTCAGTGATTTGTTTGTTTTATTATGGTCAGAGAATATATTTAGTATGATTTCAGTTCTTTTAACATTGTTAGTTAGGACCTAGGATATGGATTGGTCTTGGTAAATGTTCCATGTACACTTGAAAAAAATGAAGATGCTACTGATATTGTTTAGTTCTGTTTCCTTAATGATTTTCTCCTAGATTCCTATAGTGGGAGAGGAGTATTGACATCTCCCAACTACATGAATCTATTTCTCCCTCTAGTTCTATTGTTTTTTGCTGTATGTATTTTGATCTCTGTTGTTGGGTACATAAATATCCTTGGTATGTCTTCTTGATGAACTAACCCCTTTTGTCATTATTTAATGTCCTTCTTACTGCTAATTTTCTTTATAATACTTTGTCTGATATTAATACTTAGAACCAATCCATTTTATTTCTTTTTTATTTTTTTGGTACCAGGGACTGAACCCAGAGGCACTTAACCACTGAGTCACATCCCCAGCTCTTTTTAATTTTTTTTTTATTTTGAGACAGTGTCTTGCTAAGATTAGGGCCTTGCCTAGTTCAGAGCTAGCCTTGGCTTCTTCTTTCTCTGCCTCCCAAATCACTGGCATTATAGGTATGCACCATACCTGACCCATTTTTTTTTTCCTTTTGATTCATGTTGCATGGTGGTTTTTTCCTAAATCATTTTTAAAACTACCTATATCATCATATTTAAAGTGAATTTTTTTGTAGACAGTGTATAGTGTTTCATGTCTTACTTCTGACAATATTTTATTGTTATTTAGACCATTTACATTTAATTAGTTTATGTATTTGGATTTAAATATGCCACTTTATGTTTTCTGTATGATCCCTCTCTTTTAAGTCCTTTTGTTTTCCCTTCCTCTTCTTTTTTTGACCCACTTCTGGATTTTTCGAATATTTCTTAGTATATTAATTTATCTATTGTGATTTTTTTAATGTATCTATAATATTTTTAGTGTTTGCTCTGGAGATTACCATAAAGAAGCTTAATGTTTACAGTTCACTTAAAATCAGTATTTTATAAGTTTAAGTAGAAATATGAAACCTGTCAGTTAATATTATAATTTTTGCTTTGATCTATTACAGATTTTTTAAATTCAAGACAATACTCCATCATATTTACCCGGATATTTATCAATTCTCTTACTCTTCTTAAATTTCCTGATGTTCCAAAGTTTGTGTTGGTGTTATGAGCTTTCTATCTGGAAAACTTCTTTCAGCATTTCTTTTAGAGCTAGTATGCTGTAAATGGTCTTAATTTTCCTTCATCTGAGAATATCCTTATTTTAATTTACCTCATGAAAGATATTTTGGCTGGATGTGAACTCTGTGTCAACAGTTATTTACTTTTAACACATTAAAAATTGTCATGTGATTTCTGATGAGAAATAATTTTTCCCTTACATAAAACCTGATTTTTCTCTGGCAACATCAGGAGGCTTTGTATTTTGTTTTTATTGGTTTTATTATGATGTGCCTGCATATAGGATTTCTTTGAATTTATCCTGTTTGGGGCTAATGAGCTTCA